TAACTTAGCTTAATGAAGTCTATGAAAGCTTGGGTGAAGATATTAGAGCAGATTATTGAAGGATGACTAGGAGCTTATCTAGTTGGTAAAACAAGAAGTGAAGTTCAATACAAGAAAGGGTCCAGGCAAATGCACAGCTTTATGTCACTTTACGTATGGGGGGCATTAGTTAAGAGTTAGGAAGTGGGGAGAGATGGCCTTGCAGACCTCTGTAGTCTGGCAGAGATGCTCTAGGACTACAGGGATCAGATTCTACACAGAAGGAAAAAAATTAGTACTTTTATCCTAAAATCTCTAGGGTGATAATCTCCCACATTAACTTTATCTTCCAACAACCAGAGTCTGTCTGATACCCACTGTCCTTTGCTGACTCTGTGTCCCATCCCTTCATAGTTTCCTCATAACCACAGGCAGGAAGCTACAAGAAATGATTATGTATTTGAATTGAAGTCTATAAACAATGGAGAGTTGTTGAATTGGTTTAATGGGGAATGGAAAATAATACAATTAGCATTTTCTAAAGATTATTTTATTATTTGAAAGAGCAGTACAGGAGGCAGAGAGAGATCATAGAGGTATGACAAGTAGAAAACATGGGGCCAGAAAATAGTGGTACTAGGAATAGAAAGGAGAGAGATTTGAGATCTTCTGAGATAAAATCCAGGGACCATTTAAATTGTCCTGTTGATGGAAAGAAAAAGAAGGAAGAGAAAATGACTCTCATTTTCAGCCTGAGAGACTGACTTAGTAGACATAACAATATAAGGGGAAAAAGGAGCATTTATTTAGAAAATAAGTGGTAGAAAAAATAGAGATGTATAACAGTTTCAATTTTGGTCATCTTAAATTGGAAATTAAATGAGAAAATGCATGTAAAGTGATTGGTTCATATGTGTGCATGAAGTAATACATATTTATTATTATTTTAGATAATTAAAATGTAATATACCAAATAATAACTGTGTTTTTATGAATTATTTCATTTAATCTCTATAGTAAAGAGAGAAATTAGATACTAATATCCTTATATTACAGATGCAGAAACTAAAGCTTATGTGCCTTAAATGACTTGCTCAAGATGATCTATTTATTAATTTATAGAGCTCAGATTCAAACCAAGTTGTCCACAAGATTTATTCCATTGCTGTAAAAGTCATCATTATAATCACTACTTTTGTCATTATTATTTCTATTATATATATATAAGGGAACTGTCAATGAGGTCCAGTAGAAAGTCTGATATGTGAATCAGGACTCTGAAAGAAAAAAACCTCAGTTGCATATACAGATTTAGGAAATATCAACAATTAAATTATAGCTGAAGTCAGAGGAGCAGATGAGGTCACGCGGAGAGAGGGTGTAAGCTCAGAAAGTGAAGGGAAAAGGAAAATGCCAATATTAAATAATAGGCAAAAGGAAAAATGTGATAAAGGAAAAGAAAAGGAGATGTCATCAGAAGATAAAAGGTCTAAGAGCAGGCAAGGGAGAATACAGCTTCAGGAGTATCTCTAGTTTTAAATATGACTGGGTGATCAAGCAAGATAACCAAAGGCAAAATCAATAATCTTGGGCATTGAAAGGTCACTTTGAATTGTGCAGAGCAGACTTATCAGAGAAATTAAAAACACTATTTTGAGAAGCTTAGAGAGGAGTGTAAAAAGATAAATATATTTATTCCTTTGTTGAAGAAAAAGCCAAAAGCACAGAAGATAGGGAAGGTCAAAGAGAAAAAAGAGGTTATGTAATTGTTGGGAAAATAGCCAGAGAAGAAATACTTGGAGTTACGAACACAAGGGAATACTCTTATTATAGCTGAGACAACTCTTCCCCTGAGGGGAAATGATGGATTATTGTATGTTTGTAGGGATCTGTGTCTGGAGAGGTAAGCGGTTGAACCTGTTTATGTTGAGGTCTTGCATTTCTCTGTGATGTGATCAGAGAGAAACTCCTGGTTGATGAGGTTGAACTGAGCTGAGTTAGGGCAGGGAACTTGAGAAGAATACTGTTCCCCTAGCTTTGATGGGAATACTGGAATGACACAAGGAAAAAGTAAAGAAAAGAAACCAATATTGGTGGAAGCACTGGCTGTAATAAGAAACTTTTGCATTTGTTGTGCTTTTTCTCAAACTTACCCTAACAACTGGAATATACATGAGACCAAATAAAGTTAATAAATGACTTCAGATTCAGGAAGTTATATTTAGATTTAACAGAACCAAATGGAGAAGAGTTTTGAGGAGTGTCAAACAGTGCCCAAAACAAACAATTAAGAAGCACCTTAAAAAAAAAAAAGAATGCATCTGAAAAGGGTCATATTAGGTGAGTAGCAAATTATGAGAGATTTTGGAATGGCAGTTTCAGTAGAGTCATAGGAATAGGAGTTATAGCGGAAATGGATAAAAAGAGAAACAATGGATGAGAACTTTTAGTCATAAATGAAAGAAATGATTGAAAAGCTTGGCAGCAAAATGAAAAGAAAAATTAGGCAGTGGCTAGAAGGAATAGCAGGATCAAAGAAAGTCTCTGTGTGTGTGTGTATGTGTGTGTGTGTGTGTGTGTGTGTGTTTTAATATAAAGGATGTTCTAACATATTTGGGTATAATAAGTGGAGGTAAAACCAAAATCAAGAAGAGCAAAAGAAATTCAACTTGTATTGACAGCTCCAAAAAACAGAAAAAGAAGCTTTCTGCCTTTGTCACCATTTCTTTAAAAGTGATGATGCTTTTTTAGAATATGACACTTGATGATTGCCCCTTGAATAAATGAAGCAACAAACATGTAGTCAGATGCCTATCTTCGTGGCCAAAGAATCTGGTGTCCTAATTAGTTTTTTTTCTTATCCCAAGACCAAAAAATAATTCTTTGTACTTTCTGTTCAATTATTTTTTTGTCACTGTGTGTGTTCTCTTTGTCAGATTTTTGCATTGGAGTCTGGCACATGTTGTAAAATAAAGTGGAAAATATACAGCTGATTTGGATATTTGTTGGCTATCTTTTTATCTTTGTATTTTTTTATTGAGGTATTGTCAGTTTACAATGTTGCATCAATTTTATTGGCTATCTTTTTAAATCCTTTTATCTTTGCTCAAAATTTCCTGATTTTTTTGTGGATATATATTTTTGCAGGCAATCTGACCCTATTCTACATCCGACTTTCCTTCAGTACCTTTGGTGGGAATGTTGTTGCAAAGAAACTATTTTTATTGTTAGATGAGAGCAAGAAATCACATAGCCCTCATACTTGCTAGGATGCAGTTGACAATGAAGACTATGTAGGAGGCTATAACGTGGAGTCTTTGGATAGAATCTCACTTGAAGCCAGCCTTGCTATGGATTTTAGGTAATTTAAATCTATCAATTACCACTGTTACCAGTGTTAGTAGTAGCATGCTCTATACCCTCAGACAAGGCCCTCGACATAATAGTTAGGCTCCTATATCTTTCACGAAGTCTTCTACATGGCAAATCTAATCCAGAAATCTGAGTCTTAAAGGTAAAGGTGTGATAACTGTATAGTCACCAATGGCACCAGATTCAAACTGACCTTTGATGCATGTTGGCTTTGCTAGCTCCCATAAATGTTCATTGTTATCATCAGACACAGCTGGGGCTCCCTGGCTGAAGAAGGCAGCCTAGCCATATTGCCTTCATCAGACTTCCATCTCACGTCTCATACTTTTATAGTTTAGGTCCCAGAAAGCAGAGCCTAAGAGCTTTCGTGCAGGTAGTTTATTTTAAAAGTGATTTCAGGAACTTGGGAAAGAAAGCAGTAAGAGTGAGACAGGAAACAATTAAACACAAATAAAGCGTGGATTATTGGAGCTGTTTCTGTAGACCAAGCATTCTCTGTGGGGGCAATATAGACCCCAAGGTTCTTGGAAAGAGAAAGAAATCTTAGATATTGCAATGGTTTGTGAGCCTCCAAAGGGGAGTACATAAACAGATATACAGTATATCTGTGCCATTAAAATTTCATGAGGAATGGACTAGGGAAAAAATTCTAAAAAGCTCTTTAGGGGAAACCCAATAGTTGTAGTAGTCGTGGTGGTGGTGGTGGTGGTGGTAAACACGGCCTGGATAATAGGGGCTTAACTCCAAGAACCCAACTTCTGAGAAGCATACAGAGTGCATCCCAGAAATGGCTGGTACATTTATTCATCAACTCCCATTGCCCATTGGTTGGGCAGTGGCTGCCTTTCAGGCATTAACTTGCTCAGACTTCCAGCACCCTGAGCAGAATGCTTAAAGACAGGCAGGAGCTCTCTGAGGTAGCATATTAGTGGTGCCAGGGGAATCAGAACCGCCCACCATAGCTGAAGCTAAGGTCAGGGGCAAGCTGAGATTGTGTCATGGGGCTGTGAAATATGCTAAAATCCAGTTCAGAAGTTCAAGCTCTTGCTTGGTCCTGGCTTTGTTCACTGGAACAAGGCCCTGGGCGTGAAAATCTCATTATATTTCATTTATTAAGTTCATTCATATTTTATACTACTTTTCTCTTTCTCATGTGAAATATTTGTACAAGGGTCAGTATATAGTCCATGGACATTGACATTGACCTCTGTTTTTTTTTTAATTTTGAAATATAAAAGCCAAAGTGTTTTTTTTATTGACTAAAGAAGTTCACTTCATTCTTAGACTGCTAATCCAGGTAAGTACAAAATATTTATTGGGAAGAAAAAAATGAAATTGAACCAAAGACAATTCCCTTAATGCATCTTCACAGTAATTTAGCAATATACAAATTATGTTGACATCAGGATTAGTCGAGAAGCCATTTATAGTATGATACTCAGCCTACCAAGTGGATCAAGCAAGGAAAAATGTGCTTTAAAACCTATGTAAATTGGTGGAAACAACAATATGCATCCTAATGCTAACTGGCACCTGGTAAGAAGCAGCTGAAAGCAAATAGTCCACCACGGTTAACATTGCACTTGTTTATAAAGCTTGTGAAATCAAACATTCAGAATGCATCTGCTCTCTTTCTAATGGCAGGTAAACAAGAATAAATATCAATGGGAGAAGGAAACCAAACTTTTGTGGCTGAATTTATCTTGCTGGGATTATCGCAGGATCCAAAGATTCAGATCTTGCTGTTCTGTGTTTTCCTGATCATTTACCTTCTCTCTGTATTTGGAAACCTGCTCATCATAAACCTTATCCAAACTGATTCTCGACTTCACACTCCCATGTACTTTTTCCTCAAAAACTTGTCCTTTGCTGACCTTTGCTTCTCTACAAGCATTGTTCCCCAGATGTTGGCCCACTTCCTGGTAAAAAAGAAAACCATTTCCTTTGCTGGGTGTTCACTCCAGATAGTTGTCTTCCTCCTGGCAGGGTGTACGGAGTGTGCACTGCTGGCGGTGATGTCCTATGACCGCTATGTGGCTGTCTGCAAGCCCCTGCACTATTCTACTATCATGACCCAGAGGGTTTGTGTCCAGTTGGCCATAGTGTCCTGGATCAGTGGGGCATTTGTCTGTTCAGTGGACAGTGCATTTACACTGTGTCTCCCCTACCAGGGACAGAATGTAATTAATCATTATTTTTGTGAACCTCCTGCCCTCCTGAAGCTGGCTTCAGCTGACACCTACGATGCTGAGGTGGCCCTCTTTGCCATGGGTATAATTATTCTCTTGGCACCTGTCTCCCTCATCCTGGTCTCCTACTGGAATATTATCTCCACTGTGATTCGGATGCAGTCAGGGAAGGGGAGACTCAAGGTCTTCTCTACTTGTGGCTCCCATCTCACTGTTGTGGTTCTCTACTATGGCTCTGGAATATTTGCCTACATGAGACCCAATTCCAAGACAATGAGTGAAAAGGATAAGGTCATCTCTGTGTTCTATTCTGTTATGACTTCCATGTTGAACCCCATGATTTACAGCCTGAGGAACAAGGATGTGAAAGGGGCTCTGAGGAAGCTGGCGGGCAGATAGTCCACTTTCAGAGGCAGTGATTTCTGACATTTTCAAAAAAGTACTTAGGGCATTGTGATTGACAACAATAGATCTACTAGCCCCAGGCGTCCTTTCCTCTCTTTGTTTTATTTCTCTCAGTTGATTTTCTTCCCTACAGATATTCATTAAATGCCTGCTCTGCGCGAACAGCACACCCAGAACCTCACAATACAAGTAAAACTTAGTGTCTTTCTTAAAATAACTTGAAATCCACAGGATAACACAAATATAAAGGTAATTGTTTTAAAGGTTAAATAAAGAAGGAATATTTTAAGATGAAATAAAAATACTGTAGGGATCAAAAGCAAGGACAATAGCTTATTTGAAGATCAGGAATGTTTTGTGAAAGTGACTCTACTGAAAAGAGGTCGATATATTAGTAGGGGATATGATTTCAGCGAGCAGCAATGGGGCAGAGAAAATGCCTAGAGAAAACTATTTCAGGAAGAAATGTCTGTATGCGTGAGTGTGTCTGTTGTCTGAGACAGGCAAAGCTTATCTGTGTGAAATTCTCTGCCAATAGCACTGACTCTGATTCCTGCTCACTCTCTGACTAAACACCACTTTATCTCAGGCCAGTCTCATCTGTCTCCTAATTGTTTTCCACACCCTCCTCATCCTTCTCTCTGCAGTCTCTCACTCAACCAATACATTGTGGGAGTGCTTTCAAATGTATTACTCTTGTTTCTTTTCTGAAGGTGGGGGAGGTGAGATCCACACTAAGAAATAAACTTAAACGTTTCCTTTTCTGATTACAGAAGGAATAATATGAGAAGTATTTTAAAAATACAAATAAAATCACATCTAATCCCCCACTCCAGAAATAAGTCCTGCCAACATTTTGATTTTTATCCTGTCAGAATTCTCTGTTTCTCTCTCTCTTTTTTTACATACTAGAGCATACAGTGATGGTGAGGTAATAAGACTTAAAATTGCTCCATGCACACAAGGAACAAGGATTAGGCTCATTGCTTTGAATGAGGCTTCTTTTCCCTCACACATTACACCAAGCCCCCAGTGAAAGGAATCTGAGTAACATTGCTGCCAGACTGCTTTCTAGTACTATGAATGTATAAAAAGCTGTTAGCCCAAGAAGGTTGGAGAAAGACAACATAACATTTAGACCAAATATAGAAACCTTAATTTGATGACCGGGACAGGAGTTACAAAAATGCCATTATAAGATTTGATACTAGAAGTGGCTGGTGTGAACAACCACCAAAAATATTTTGGGGCAGGAAAAAGTAATCACTGAACTGGGGTGAGGATGGAAAGAGAGATTCTTCCAGTGGGAAAAGAGTGGACACCAGTTAGACTGAATTAGGGTCTACCCTAAAGGCCTCCTTTTAACTTACAATGTAGCAAATGAGGGCAATGCTCTACACATATGCTTTTGCCCCTTATTGTTTCAGGGCATGCTGGCTTCCAACACCAATATCTGTGTCTTTTGCATCAGGACTTTCTTTGGCTGACATGTCAGTTCTTCCCACTTGCCCAGAAGGCCAGAATGGCCCAGGGACTTAATGTCCCATGCACCAACTGAGCCCTAATTGATTATTGATGAGAGTTGGTGTGTAAACATCCCAGATCCCTCCCTTGTAAATGCTTTTTAAGAAATTTATTGCAAAAAATTGGAAGAAGTTAGAGAAATGGTCTGAAAGGAAAAGAAAATGAAAGGATTATTTTTTTTGCACAGGGAAATCTTGATTATATTCAGGAGTTAAATCAGAGGATTATGGGAGAGCTTATGATACAAGAATATGTCAGTGAAGGAGCAGAGGGATAGAGCAGACAGTGAAGATGAGAAAGAATATGCGTAATAATTGGAGAAGTCAACTCTGAAGTGGAGAAGGCATACTTATTCCTCTGAATTAAAAGGCTGAAGAGTGAAGATAGTTCCTATATAAGATAATAAATGTCTGAAGAATTTAAACACCTGTGCTATCTTTATCTATGAAGTTAAGAGCAAGATTGAAATTCAGGTATGTAGGGACTAAATTCATTATTACCATAAATTCACCAGTCAAAACAAAAGCTAGAATCCCAATTATATCCTTCTTTGGCTCACCACCATCCTTCTCTCTGCCTCCTTTCAGTGTAGTAACTGTTATTCCGAATTCTATGTCCATCATTCCCTTTGCTCTATTTTATATAGTTTTACTGAATCCACAGAGGTATTCTTCAAACAAGATTTTTTCTTTTGAGTTTTTAACTCTATAAAAGGAGTATCATGATAAATCATCTTTAGGACTGTTTTTTTCCGCTTAATATTAGATTCTTGAGTTATTTGCTTCATTTGTGCGTCCTTCTGGTTCCTTTGTTTTGATTACTGTATGATACCTCTTAGTGTTAAAATTTATCCATTCCACTATTGATGGACCTAGGGGGCATTTCTAGCTTTTGTTCTGTTGTGAATAGTGTTGCTCTTACATTTTATATGTCTAAAACCTTCTTTTAGGTAAGTTTATTTTACAATAAGAAAAATTAAAAGAGCTTGTATTTTATTTCTTTTCTGGTACAGGTACAATCATTTTCTTGAGGGTATTCTCTTTATAATCAGAAAACGAAAACTTATCTTTATTTTCTTGAAGTTCAAAGAAAGAATATATAACTTCAGCAGCAGTTTCAGAACTAACTGGAAAATAAGTGATTATAGAGAGACTAAAGCATGAGGAGGACCTGGCAAAAAAAAGTTGGGTGAGAGAATGGCATGAATTAAAGCAGTGATAGGGAGAGGCAGGTGCTGTGTCATCACCTCAGAGCTCTGAGCAGCTGAGCCCACATGACACAGAGAGCAGCGACGTGTATGCATTCATGCATATATGTGTGCTTATGCATTAACGGGAGAAAAAAGAGTAACAAATAACTTAAAGGTATAGAAATGTCCAATAAATCAGGCTTTGATGCTAACTGAAGGTCAAGGAAGGAAGGCTTGATATGAACAGAAGCGCTGCCAAGTTCAGTTCCCTCTAGCTGGCAATAGCCCAGGCTAGAGGCACAAATTGGGAGATGGGGAGTGGCAGTGTTGACAGCACCCATAACACCTACTTAATAATTTGGACAGAGAGCTAGCCAGGGGCCCTTGCTTCTTAGGTAATTCACTGACTCTTTAGTCAGCACTTTGGAAACAGCCTCACTAAATCCATATGGGGGAAAAAGCCCTCAGGCCTCAGAGCTTATTTAGTGGGTAAAGTTTGCAAGACTTGGAGACGAGGAGAAATGCCTGGGAAATTCATTAAAATCTTGTTTCCTGGAGCAACATATTCAGGGGAGGTCATGTCAACTAAGAAGATGAGACCATGATGCCTCCCCCAGGACAGGGCCGCACTTCACTGTGGCCCCAGGGACAGTGAGGCTGGTGTAGCATCTCCTTTGGGCAGCATCTCTCATACCTTTTTATCCCAGTCCCTGCTGTGCTCATCTTTTATCATGGATCCCAGCAGGATAGGAATACATGAAAGTCTGAGTCCCTGGACTCAAGAACTCAGCCAAAATGACGCCAAGGCTGTGAAGGCTTTCTCACAAGGAGAATGGACAAGAGAAGTTGGCAGAGATTTAGCTCCTTGCTTCCCTGGGATCCTGCTCCAGGTTCTCAGTTGCCTGTCTGCATCCATTTCTACCCTGAGAGAGGCCTTGCAATGCTAGTGACTGGAGGGGTCTTTGACCTCTGATCTCAGACACACATATCTACATCCTACCCTGCCAGAAGAGCCACCTTCTCTATCCTCATCTTCTTGAACATCTTCATCCCTCAAAGGATCACAGGGCAGTAGATGTGCTTAGGCAGCTGAGCTCCTCCCCGTCTGAGGTAAGGGCTCTGTCTCTGTTTTAAAGAAATTAAGTGGAGTCTGGAAGTCTTGATAAATAGAGTCAAGACCTCCCTGCTCTGTTTCTCAGATTCTCTAGTCCCTCAGGCTTTATAACTCACCCACTCCCTTCTATATTTGAAGTACTCTTACATGTAAGTACACCCACAGCTGATCTGTTCCACTGGCCAGGCCTGGGCTCCTGTCCTTGCTGACACTGGCGTCCTGGCTGAAGTCTCAGTATTACCTCTGGAGCTAGATTATCCTGGCCTCTAATAGTCTGAGGTGTGCCACTAAAAGATTGGTACTTCAGAAGAGGATCATCTAGAATCAGTTGAAGTATCTCTTCTGTATATGTCTGCTTGACACTAAAGTCCAAAGCCACAGAAAAAGCCAATTGACGTCCATGACATTTTTCAGATCCACTAGCAATGATACAGAGAAATAATTTATACAAATGTGCTTCCAAATTTTTATCTCCATCTTGTTCTGACCATCTCCTATGAAGTATGACGCCCCTCTGCTAATCGCAGTCTCTCTTGGCTTCTCTTGGCCTGAGGTTTTCGCTCACCACCCGCAGTTTTTCAGAAAGGGGGCTCATCATCTGTAGGCACAGTGTGTGATCTCTGACATTTATCTTCAGGTGACCTGGGGGAGAGTAGCTTGGGAATGGATGGAGGGAAGGCAGGAGTCTGAATCAAAGGGGAGAATGCAGATAGGAAAGATCCTGAGTCTTAGAAATCATCACTAGAGTCCTGGTTTTTCTGCTCTCTGAAATCCTGTCCAAATTCCTGCTGCAGAAATCTGGATAAACGTGACCAGCTAATTATTTTCTTCCCTTAATTACTCTCTCCATTCATCTTTTTAATACAACAAAAACAAAAGTATTTCAAGTCAGATATTTACCAGGAACAGTACTAAGAATTGTTTTTGAATTTGTCTTTTTGTTGATGTCAATAGGCAAAGACATTCTTCCAGCCAGTCTTTCTTAGCTTAAACCTATAGTTCTGGTTTTGTGAAGCAAGAGACAGTTTTATAAGAGGTTGTTTTTCTGGTTGGCTTCTTGCTTAGACTTCACTGTGACACAAGTGCACGGAGGATATTCTTGTGCTGTTTCAGTGTTCTGACCTTCAAATGCTATTCCCTGTCTCTGTTATGATACCCTGACCCTTTTTTCTTAGCTTCCTTATATTCCTCCTCAGCCTGTAGCTTGTAAAAGTGATTATAAAATGTTTCCTTTCCTGAAACCTCACTTACATGGACTCACAGTATGTTATAGTTTCCTTGACTTATCAGTCATTGCCAGTGGATGTGTGTAGGTGTTTGTGTAATGGGCTCTTCACATCTATGCAATTTTCCTAGCAAATAAAGTGTCTGATAAATCGTTGGTCCTTAGTAAATATTGAATGAATGAAAGGAACTAGATCAGATGGACTTTCCAATTTTATCATCCAACTACTTAAAGATCCCAACTCTAAGTTGACAAGGATGATGACATAAACAGAAGAGAGGAGGAGAAGGAGCAGATGATATGAGAGAAGCATGGAATATTTGGTTGAGAATTCTCTTCTCTCTGAGTTCCTCCTAAGTCCTCCATCCAACTATGAAAGGTCTGAATTTATCTAGAGGAAGCTGGTGAATATTCTTCCACACCCCACATATTCCACATCCTCTCCTCCTCAAACCTTTCCACTAGTACATTAACATAGATTCAGGGTTCAGCAGGACCAGCATCCTTCCTCATGTTGTTAGTATTGTGAGATAGAGGAATCTCCTTTTGAAGTTCAGGGTCTTTGACCTCTGAGGTAATGAGATGGCTTTGGGACTTCCCTACAAAATCCCCTCTGTTATAGCTCACCTCTTCTATCATGGGCCCTAAACATAAACACCTTGCTATACCTTTTCAAATTTCATCTATTACTTTTGTTTCCATCCTGATTCCTCCTAAGCAAACACCTTATTATTACCTGCAAATAGGCAAACACCTTTTGTACTATTCCTACAAGTTTACCTCCAAAATCTATAGTATACTGACCATTCACTTCAGTCCAGAATTCTTTCTCCCTCCAGCAGAGTAGCAGTTTGCAAATCAAGGATGTGAAGACAGTTCAAGAACACAAGAGATCGAGTGGTACAAGAGCAAAGAAGTTTTTTTTGAGAAATCTGTCCAGAACACTGAGACTGGAAAGTGAAGGAAGATGTCACTTCTAGGGGAGCAGGCACTGTAGAGTTTTATTATTAAAAAAAAATTCAAAAATTGAATTAGAATCCCAAGTATGTTTAAAGCAGAAAACCAACTGGGATTTTAAGCCAATGTGCATTGTATTTCTTTATTAGGAAGATAGATGTTTTTATCAATCTGCAAAGGTGTTTGCTTGGGTTCATTCTCTTGGGTATCTTATTTAAAGATGATAGGCTACTACCAACATGCTTCTTTCCAATTTAGATGATGCTTTATGATACTTCAATGAAAAGATTCAGAAGACAGAGGGCAGACTTAGCCACCAAGAGGAAAAGATATCATCCTATTAGCTACCCCAGAGTGACATAGAAACAGTACAAAACGAGGGTAGTTGTCCCTAGAAAGGCTTTCATCAAGACCACTTGGTTCTAGGCAACTAA